TAAGCGTCTGCCTTCGGCTCAGGTCATGATCCCAGGGTCCTGGGATCGAGCCCCGCATCGGGCTCCCTGCTCAGTGGGGAGCCTGCTTCTCCCTCCCCTCCCCGCACAGGCTCTCTCTCACTGTCTCTGCCACTATCTCTGTCTGTCTCTCTCTCTCAAATAAATAAAATCTTTGAAAAAAAAACCACGGAGAACCCTCTCCTGCTTCAGTTTTTACTGTGATTAGTATAGAGAACTTGTGATTAATAGAGATTCTTTTACTTCCAAATCTCACATTGGAAATATGATTTCTAGCAGAGTTCTTACAAAATAACACAAAATGTCCTATTTTGTATCTTACAGTGTTGTAGTGTTGATTCATACTAAATTTCCCCACTTCCTGTCACCTATCCGTTATGACAAATAACCAAAAGAGTCTGAATCTTTATAGGGAAAATGTTTTTATTATTCCATAGTAAATCTGTGGTTACTTTGATAGATGCAATATATAAAAAAATTAAGGCTCTGGGGCACTTGGGTGGCTCAATTGGTTAAGTGTCTAACTCTTGATTTCAGCTCAGGTCATGGTCTTAGGGTTGTGAGATTGAGCCCTGCATCAGGCTCTGCTGGGTGTGGAGCCTGCTTAAGATTCTCTCCTTTTCCCTTCGCACTTCATTACACTCTCTAAAAAAAAAAAAAAAGAAAGAAAAAGAAAGAAAGGAAGGAAGGAAGGAAAAAAAATTAAAGCTCTAAGTGTCTATCCGTGATTCTTTTTCTATCTGTCTGATATGGCTAACTTTTCAATAAGTTAGCCAAAGGAATGACTTATAGACTGACTTCACTTTAAATTATTGGGATTCTCATTGAATTAAATCTGAAAAGTTTTAGCACTATTATTTTTATGGGTTTTATTATTATTATCATTTGGGGCTGTGGTGGAGGCAGTCTTAGAATCAGAGACTAGGAAGTTTATAAACAAATATACCATGAGAAGTGAAAATCATAGAAGACAAAATTGATGGATTTAACTACACAAAAATGGAAGCATTTGTATGTTCCTCCAAAAAATTTCATGAACAAAATTAAAAGACAAACTGAGAAAGACTATGATAATAACTGGCAAAATGTTAAGGGAATGAATGTATATGGAGCTGCCTCCCCTTTAAGAACTATCAAGCGAGTGATACCACAGTTTGCAAAAGAAGAAGTATAAATTGATGAAAAAATGTACCCAAATTCAACTTAATAAGGAAATGCAAATTAAGATACTAATGACGTAACTTTCTTTGTCCATCCAATTGTACTTTCATACCTTGCTGATATTACAGATTGGAAGAGAAGTCTTTAAAATGTCTACCAATTGATCTAGGGATTCCATTTCTAGAATTTTATTCTAAGAAAATAATTAAGAATATGCAAAGGCATTTATCCATAAATGTTTATTTTTATATTGCTTACTTATAACAGCAAATAATAAAAACAACCTTTATGTCCATCGACAGGAAATTGTGTAAATAAATTAGAGTTTGTCCATTCAAAGGAACATTAATCAGTCATTAAAAATGATTATGTAGGTCAGGGATCAGCCATTTGTGTTCATTGGCCGGTTGCCTGGTTTTGTAAATAAAGTTTTATTAGGACACAGCCATGCCCATTTGTATGGCTGCATATTAGTTTGCTAGGGCCGTCATACCACTGACTGGGTGGTTTAAACCACAGAAATGTATTGTCTCACTGTTCTGGAGGTTAATAATCCAAAATCGAGGGGTCCGAAGGGTATGTTTTTGTCTGAACACTGTGAGGAAAACATCTGTTCCAGGCCACTCCCCTTGCTTTCTAGATGGCCGTCTTCCGTGTCTTCGCCGTGTCTCACCTCCATGTGTGTCTGTGTCCAAGTGCCCCCTTTCCCTAAGAATGCCAGTCATATTGGACTAGGAGCCCGCCCTATTCCAGTATGACCTCATCTTAACTAATTACATCTGCAATGACCCTATTTCCAGAAAAGGTCACATTTGGGGTACTGGGGGCTAAGACTACAGCATATGAATTTTGGGAAGACCCCATTCAATCTGCAACAGCTGCTTGCATGCTACAAAGGCAGAGTTGAGTGGCTGTGACTGAGACCATGCAGTCTGCAAAGTCTAAAGTTGTCACTTTTCAGGAAAAGTTTGCTGACACCTGCTATAGGTTTTGACGGGGAGAAGATTCAAAAATATATTCTTAAATGAAAAGGACTACAATAGTACCTTTTGGAAAATTATCTCATTTGAAAACATCTATGTGCAAATATGAGAAAGGCAAAGAATATACATCACAATATTGATAGTGGTGATCCTGGAAGATCGGCACTTTGAGCAATTCTTTTCTTTTAACTTGTGTTTCCTAATGTTTCTATTATAAATATATATTATTTTTGCAATTATAAAACCAAAAAATTTATGCCAGCATAATGTAGAAAAGCTAGACTGCCACGTTGTCTTCGTAAGCATGGGGTAGAAATGAATTTCCACACAGTATTTATTCCAACTTCTAGTGCGCTTCCCTGTACTGCGGAGGCTGGAAATCTGAAAACCACATTTTTTGGACTCCCCTGGGGTTCCGGGTGCAAAATAGATTCTGCCAGTAGACGGACCTGCATGGGAAGAAAGCCATCATCTTGCAGTTTTGCCCCTCTCTGCGGGGGGCGTTCAGCTCTAGCTCTGAGCTAAGAGGGGGTTGGGCAGAGGCTGTCTCCCCCTTGGATTGCAGCTAGAGCAAAAGTTCTCGGGGTCAACAACCTTCTGATTCCCTGCATTCCTGATATCATGGAGGCTGCTACCCCCTGGCAGGCCAGTTCTGCAGTGCTGCTCATTTTTCTAGAAATTATTCCAGGACACATAGCCCAAAGGCAGGCTTTCCAGCTATTTTACAATTAGATAAATCTTCCTGTGCCTAAAATAGCTGATTTATTGTTTCCATGACAGAACCACAACCGACATAAGGGCTCATGAGCAATTTGGGGACCAGCTTGTGCTAAAGGAAATTTTCTCCTGAAAATACATTTTCTTTGACAAGTTGAATGAAAATTATTCAGAGGCATCGATGTTTCAAGTTGCTTGGACTCCATCTGAATTGCAGAATGAAGAGTAGAAATAATTGGAACCATTCTGCCAAATCTAAAACACAGCTCAGATCCCCTAAGTATAAATGCAACAAGGTCAGAGATCTCCTCACTTTTATGAAGATGTGCAAATAGAATGTGGCTTTAAACTTTTTCTACAGTGGATCTACTTTCTCCATGAGCCTTATCTCTAGGGGATTTGAGGAGGAATGGTGAGGGGCAGGATTCAATCTGCCTGTTTGTGAAATTTCAGCCTGATGAACACTTTTTCATTCTGGTAGCAGCTCAGTCTTTCCGATTCCTCCCATTTCTCCATAGTATCTGGGTGCACAGGGTCATGTGGCCTGGTTGTGGTGCGTCCCTCTGCCTCTGGTTTCCCATATGAAGTGGCTAGTCTGGCCTGGTCCTTAGACTGAGGACTGCTGAGGACCACTGGTCCCATCTTGGGGGTGGGCCACCATGTTTTTACCCACTGGTCGAGCCTATGACTCCAGTCCTTGCCTCTGGTCACAAATCCCCCTTCACAGTAGCTTCTTTCTTCTTCCTTGCGGCCCCCGTGGGTCTGCTGGTCTTCCCAGGACACTCCCAGCCCCACTGTAGGGATATCCAGATCCCTGGCAGGCGCACAGCAGGCTATGGGGACAGGAGCCTACCCGAGGCCCAAGAACCCAGTCATGCCCTCTGCCCGGGGCCCACGCTGCCATGTTGATATGGAGTCCACGAGGATGTGGGCTCTTCCTGGCCTCCCAAATGGAGCCCAGGCAAATACTCCTCTGCTGTCAGCTTTCCTCTGAACACATCTAACCTGGATCCATGCTGAGGTTTCATTCTTGGAGAGGGGAGGCCAGGGCACATGTAACTGTTTCTCTTGGGTCCCCATCTATTTGGATGGAAGGGTGATGTTTTCACTTCGTCTCAGTTAGGGAATTTCTCCATGTCATAATCTACTCCCTTCCAAATAGCTCAAACAGGACACCTGACAGTTAGGCAGGACTTTGTAGAGGAAGGTAACATGGCTAGGAGGAGACACTCAGATAGTTATAGTGGGTGAGTCAGAAAGGGGAAGCTGGGGCAGAAGAGTCCTAGAGGGAGGTTGTAGGAAAGTTGGTTTTGAGTTACCATCCTTTGGCAAACAGAACAACTCAGGGTAGTATTTGGAGGGCAGGCTTGGAACCTGCCCACTTACTAGCTTTGTGACCTTGGGCAAGCTACATAACCTGCCCAAGGCTCAACTTTCTTATTGTAAAGTGGGGATCATAATGGCACTTACCTCAGTGGTTTGCTGTATTATAGGAAATAATGCCTGTGAAGGCACAGCAGGCACTGGGCTCAGGCTGATGCACAGCTTGGCTGCCATAACCAAGGCTGTCATGAAACTCTCAAATACTACTGTTGTGAGTACTAAGAGGGAAAACCAGCTATAAGTACTACCCACATGTAAGTTGTTACTCGTTGTATGATGTAGGTTGGCGAGTTTGGAAGAAGTTGGAGGGTACAACCTCGTCTTCACTGTGAGGCATGCATGAAGTATGAGTGGATATGGACAAGGAACTGGAAGTGGAAAGTGATAGAGAGGGAGTCCCAGAAGAACCGAAAATGAGTCCAGAGAAACAAGAAGAAACCAGTCAAGGTGATGTCAATGGTAAGTGGGTGGGAGGAGGGCCACCTTAGGGACCTACATGCTTAGGGAGAAGGCAGCAGGATTGAAGCAGAGAAAAGTTGTAGTTTTAAAAAAGACAGCTCTATGTAAAGGTAAGTGAATCACATGCTGCCTGGCCTTCTGTTGAATGTGATTGTTCAAGTTGATACATCATTCATAAAACTACATTTGTGGGCTCTAAGAATGACATTTGTCTTCCCCGGAGTATGTGATAAGAATTTTTTTTTGTTTCTTCTTTTGCATTTTATTTATTTATTTATTTATTTATTTATTTATTTATTTATTCAGAAAGTGCCTTATTACAGGGTCTGTCCAGCCATGTGACTCCGTTGGTACCAGAATTCTTGGACCCAGCACGTATCCAGGAGAAGGCCTTGGCCCGTGAGGTAAACAACATACAGCACATGCCTGCAGAGGAGTCCAGAGGTCCACAGCCCAAGGACATATTCCCCCCTGTATGTGGCGGTAGCATCTCTAATTCCTCAGCAAAAACCATAGAGCCCAAGCAGGCTGACAACCCCAGTTTTTCAGCAAAACCCATCCTGCCCAAGCAGGCTGATACTCCAAGTTTGTCAGCAAGAACAATCCCACCCAAGCAGGCTGACACCCCCAACTCCCCAGAAAAAATTATCCCACTCAAGCAGACTGACATCTTCAATTTCTCAGCAAAACCCCTATCACCCGAGCAGGCTGACACCTCCAGTTTTTTAACAAAAGTCATCCCACCTAAGCAGGGTGATACTTCCAATTCCCCAACTAAAACCACCCCATACAAACAGACTGATATCCTCAATTCCCCAGCCAAAACCATCCTACCCAAGGAGGCTGACACCCCCAATTTTTCAGCAAGAACCAGCCCCCCCAAGCAGGCTCACACCCCCAATTTTTCAGCAAAAATCATCCCATCCAAGCAGGCTGACACCCTCCATTCTTTAGAAAAAATTATCCCACCCAAGCAAGATGATATCCCCAATTCCTCAGAAAAAATCACCCTGCCAAAGGAAGATGGCACATCTGCTTCTTCAGAAAAGAACATCCCACCCAAGCAGGGTGACACCAATTCCCCAGTAAAATCCATCCTGCCTAAGCAGGGCAATAACCCCAAGTTCTTAGCAAAATCCATTCTGCCCAAAGGGGCCAACACCCCCAAGTTGTCAGCAAAAGCTTTCCAGTCTAAGCAGGTCAACAGCCCCAAGGTCTTAGCAAAAACCATCCGGTCCAAGCACAGTCACACTTCCAAGTCCTCAGAGGAAAGCCTCCTGCCCAGAGAGGATGACACCAAGTCCTCAGAAGATACCATCCACCCCAAGGAGGGTGACATCCTCAAGTCCTCAAAAGAAACCATCCAGTCCAAGGAGGGTGACATTCCCAAGTCCTCAGAAGAAGCCATCCATCCCATAGAAGGCAGTGTCCAGAAGCCATCAGAGACAATGGAACTCTTGGAGGTGGACTTGGTGAAAGTGATCCTGAGCAAGGAGGACTTTGAGTTGGCGCTCAAGGAGGCCGGGGAGAAGCTGGTAGCCGTGGACTTCTCAGCCACCTGGTGTGGGCCTTGCAGGATCATCAGGCCCCTTTTCCGGTCCCTGTCCTTGAAGTATGAGGATGTGGTGTTCCTGGAAGTGGATGCTGATGAGTGTGAGGAGCTGGTGAGAGACCTAGAGATCATTTGCATCCCAACCTTTCAGTTTTATAAAAAAGAAGAAAAGGTGGGAGAATTTTGTGGTGCTGTTAAAGAAAAACTCGAAGCAAGCATTGCAGAATTAAAGTAATTGTGAATTCTGAAAGCACTGTTAACAGTCAGCTGGTTATAGTTTGTGATTTTTTTATTTATGAAAAGAGATGAGACATAATGAAAGTGTATGTCTGAATGACATCTGCTCATAAATGATCAAGTGTTAACTCCACTTTTTCAAAAAGTAGTAAAAGCATGAAAGCATGTTGTGACCATGCTTTCGTTGGTAGGAAAGTGTGATATTAGAATTTCCTTTGGTGGAGATTGGGAGTCTACCTGTCTCCTATTTTTTTGATCATGATTTTTTTGGAACTCACCCTTAAAAATTCAGTTCATTTTGTGTTAGTGGCAACATTGGAAATTTAGACAATTCTTCTGTAGAAGTACATGATTTTAAGATGAGTGGAGACTTCTTTTCTCATTTGGGGTTTCTGATAAGATGCTTTGGGAAATAAAGAGTTTGAAAGGTTCACATATCCTACCTAACCTCCTCTAAGTGCGGGGAGTGCTACGGAGGCCTCAGGAAATCCCATGGGCTCACCAAGCCTGCGTGGGATTCCTTGGTGGCAGAGTCAAGACCAAAACCATGTTCCCAGATCTCAAGTGCAGCAGGCCTCTTTCTACTAATCATGCCCACAAAATCCGAGACAGACCTCCCAGCTTCCGGTTTCTCATACCAAGAGCTTTACTATTCAGGTCAAAGTCAGGGTGATCTTCAATGCCATTATGACATCAGCTCCCTGGTGACAGAGTTCCTACTTTGTCTCCTGGTAACTGGATTTCTGAAACCTGCTCCCAGATGTCTCAGAGCCCAGAGGCCCGGGTCTGGGTCACAGATGGTAGCTTGCTCCAGAGTTTTTGTGTTTTAAAAAAATGTGATACACACACATGTAACAGCATGTATTTAATGTATACAATTTGATGAATTTGGGCACACGCATACACCCATGACATCATTACCACAGTCAAGGTAATAAACATACCCCTCACCTCCAGAGTTTCCTTGTGTGTCCTCTTTTTTCTTATTGTGGTGGCGGCGGCGGTGGTAAGAGCGCTTAACAGGAGATCTAACCTCTTAACCACATTTTAAATGCACAATACTATGTTGTTAATGACAGGCGCTCTGTTGTACAGCAAATCTCTAGAACTTATCCATTCTGGAGAACGGAAACTTCTACCCAGTGAGCAACAACTCCTCATGTCTCCCCCTATTCCTCATCAGCCACCATCCTGTCTTCTGCTGGTCCAGAGTCTTTTAAAGAACTTGAACTAGTTGTCAACATTTCAAAAAGCCAGGATTCCCTTTTAAACCTTGAATTCTAGCTTTTCTTGAAAAATTGTAAAATCTGGCAATCTGGGCTTGGGTTCCCTCAGAAAAACCAATCTAATCTTAGAGGCTGAGTGGCACTGCCTCCCAATGGTGATGAGGAACCTGTCTGGCTTCTTTTATGTGGCTGAGTTGCAATCCCTATCTAAGTTAACCACAGGAGGGGGCTGCCCCAGCAACTCCCACTCTGTGCACTATCTCAGTCGTAGACTTTATCTGAGCCATGAAAAATAACCACCTAACAATAGAAACAAAATGCCATGCATACCTGGACTTTTTTCCAAAAACATTTGGAATGACCTACATAAAGTATTAATGATAAGGCTAACAAATTCATGAAAATGAATAAGATGTCAACTGGGGCTCATATAATCACTCTGTCTGAGTGGCACATTTTGTTCTGAGCCTCTTAGCCGTGTGGATGGGGTGGGGGTGAGAAAAGGCAAACTCAATAATACCCAGATTTCATTACCCCAAAGGAGAAAACACTGGAATTTGAAAAATGAGTCAATGATTTCCCATAACTAAATTCTTGAATGAAAATTTTCATCTGGGAACCTCTGGATGAGGTTCTTGACAGTAATTTTTATAAGAAATTCAGAAACAATTCTCATATAGCTATTTCTGATAATAATCTCTCATAAAAGCCAAAGCTATGATCATAAACCACTTTTCAATGAGAGGATTTGGGATTAGGGTGTACAAGCACAAAGCTTTTGATTTTCATATAAATGGACTTCTTTTAATGATCCATATATCCATTCTTTTCTTCTGGTGGAGAGACCTTCCTCTGACTTTTTTCACTCAGATGTGTTCTTGTTTTCCATATTGAACAGGCTGGTTTTAATGTAACTTTATCTGCTCAGACATTTAGGAATTAACTCAACCCCTCTGCTACCAGAGCCCCTTTCGGACAACCTAGCCCTGCAACACTTTAGACTGTGTAATTTGGAGGACCAGGGACCCCCAAATCTAACATTAATGAGTTACACCAACAACTATTTCTGGAACTGTAGTATTGCAGGTTTGTTTTTTTTTTTTAATCATACGTCTTTATGTTTAGGTTACTAAGTGATGACATGGACAATGACCTAAAGAAAACCCTTGAAAATAGTCGTGATAGATTTTCCAGGTGGTTTTAAACCATTCCCAATGCAAACCAAGGGAGGATGGCAGAGCGCAACTCTGCAAAGTCAACTCTGCAGGGTCAACACAGTGCAGAGCAAGTGGGGGCTCTCTGACATTCTAATTTATCCCTCCAGATGCAGGGATAAAATCTAAACTACCAGAGAATCAATTCATGTCCTTCAGACTACCCACCTTAAGCACGATTTCTCTGGACTGTTTGGATAATAGTTAAACAGTAACCAGCTCAAAGCTATGTTCTCTGGCACAAAGCTTGAGTATGGATGTTCTGTTTTGCTAATTAAGAATCATGCATTTAAAAAAAATGAACCAAGCAATTGTCATCACCTCTACTCTTGAGCATGAAGGAGAAATAAGAAGCATTTCTAATGAGAAAGAAGATTCCAGATAATCATATTGGCTGTGCATGATGACAGTCTAACTAGAGCCCTAACAAGAATCAGTGGAAAACCTGTTTGCTTTGATAAGAAAACTCAACAACGGCGCCTGGGTAGCTCAGTCAGTTAAGTGTCTGACTCTTTATTTCGGCTCAGGTCATGATCTCAGGGTCATAGCATGGAGCCTGCTTAAGATTCTCTCTCTCCCTCTCTCTTTGCCCCCCTCCTCCTGCATGTGTGCTCTCTCTCTCTCTCAAAAAAACCAAACCAAACCAAACCAAAACTCAACAAAGTGGCAGTATTCCAAGTTATCTCCAAAAATTCAATAGCTTCCTTTTGATTCAGTGATAAGTGACTGGGAATCATTATGGAAAAAGGCCTCATTTACAATAGTGACAAAAAGAAAAATAAAACACCTGGCAATAGTCCTAACAAGAACAGTAAGGATTTTTAGGACTAACTCTAAACACTTTGAGACAATACAAGTAGATTTGAATAAAGTGAGACACAGTCCATTTTCCACATTGGAAAGAAAGATTGAAAAATGTTGAGTCATTTCACTTGATTAGACTTAATGTGATCCCAACCAATATCTCATTGAGATCATTGGGAGAACCTGACAAAATACTTAAAAATTCAAGAATAGATAGGAAAAAGTTTTAAGAAGTAATGAAGAGAAATTTGCCCTATCAGATAGTAAAATGTGTAAGTAATACAGTAATTGTACAGTAAGTGTAGGGATACCAATAGAAGTATTGATGAAGAAAGAAAAGAGAGTAAGGAAACATAATAGTAACCAAAATCAGACTACAGTATATAAGTAGTAATATGTTAATAAAGAAATGTTTCAATTTGATCAAATGTGAGTGGGTAATTAAAAAAAAAATTGTTAAACATTAGGTTTCTAGGGACACCTGGGTGGCTCAGTCTGCCTTAAGCTCAGGTCATGATCCCAGGGTCCTGGGATCGAGCCCCATATTGGGCTCCCTGCTCTGCGGGGAGCCTGCTTCTCTCTCTCTCCCTCTGTCGCTCTCCTTGCTTGTGATCATGCTCTCTCTCTCTCTGTCAAATAAATAAATAAATAAATCTTAAAAAAAACTACTCACATTAGGTTTCTAGGCTTCCATACTTGAAAAATCAGTTTCAGTAGTTGTGGATGGAGTCCAGGAATCTCTCCCCTTTGTTCAAGTTCAGCCACCCCACCCCCTGCCGCCCCCAACAAGCTCCCATCCTGTGTGCACTGTAGTCCCTAAACATGCTTCCTCTGGACAATTACTCTCCTGCAGAGCATCACTTTAATCTAATGCCCACTCATCTCCCCAGAAACCCACAGCCCTAGCCCATGAGGGTTGTCTTATCCCCAGATTGATCCCCTTCCCACAGCATTTCCTTCCTGAGGCTAAGTTACTCAGTGTGGAAAACCACTGCTAGAGAGAAAGGGCTGCCCCGTCAGGCGTGGGGGTGAGGTGAGGGGTCTTTGCTGTTCAGGTTCCATATAAGAGGCTAGGGCTTGAGCGGGTTCAGTCTCCTTTGAAATTTCCCCCTTGGTAGGAATCCTTATTAGCATGCCCCTTATTTTTCTGATAATCCAGAACATTACTGTTGGAACAAACACATTTCCACAACATAATCCCACCTCAGTGATTGAATTGCCTAACCCCATAAGGACCTTCCTCCCAGAGGAACCTCTTCCTGTTCCTATAATTTGCAAGGCTGCCTCTTTTCACATTATTAGATGGAGCATCCTTCCTTTGTACTCTCTCTCTCTCTCTCAGATTGGTTCCACAGGCCTAACAGGAATAAGAAAATAGGTTCATTGCTGAGTCATGTTTACAGGGTTTTATAAGATAAACTGAGGCATATTAAAACTTTTTATGAGTTTATTTGAGCAAAAATTGTTTCTAACAGGGAAGTGCCAAACAGGAAATGGTTAGATGCACTCTGCCAACAAGAGCCAGAGGAAGACTTGGTGTAGAGAAGGTGTGCGAGCAGAGAAAAGACATTATTTGATTGGCTGTAGCTTCAAGCCTAGTTGGCTGTTTGTGATTGGCTGTCTTTAGGTTTTGATTTCTTAACCTTGAGGCATTTACAGGCTTAGATTTTGGTTTGTTTACAGTTCCACCAGGCCTTAGAGCCACCTCAGGCTAAAGGCCTCCTTATTTAATTAATTTAACAAAAACTAGAACT